CCAGATTCGGGCAATGCTCCGAAGACATCGATGGTCAAACACTGAAAGTCTTTTGACGTCCTCGGCGCGCAGCGGCCAGGTTTTTGATCCATCTAGTAATATGGAGCGCACCGCAGCATTGTAAGCTCGACCCTTGACGGAGAAACTGATGTCACACCTACGCCACAGGTGACGTAGGTTCGCAAAAGCTGCTCTGGCCTTCCCAATCCGGATGGAAATATCATCATTCCCCTGAGTCGGATTATGTTGATTTGGTGGATGGGCACAGAAAACATTCCCAAGTACTGGCTAGTCAAAAGTCGCCAGATTTACATAGGTCTGCTGAATTAAGTCTAAAAATCCAGGATTCCAGAAATTTCGTGGACTATGCATCCTTGTTGTTTTGAGGCTTTTGTGGATACCGAATCGTTTTAGATGGACTGCCTGAAACTTACTGCTTAGAATAGGTGCTTCTCAAATATCAGCAATTCGTTGCTGACTGATTGGACGGTTGGATGACAGACTGTCAGTGTACTGATGGGAGGGCATGCGAGCAGTATGTTTTCTAGTAAATCCGCTTTGCGTCTCTTAAAAAGTGAGATATATTACAGAATTTGCGGAGCCGGTCTGTAAAACTTGCTCGGACTTGAGGAACAGTCAATGAATGTCCAGGAAAGTTCAGGAAGGCGCGTTCAAGGAGAAGATGGACATTCGATCTTTATGAACCAGTTTTACTTCCCTGTCCAATCGTCCGTAACTGTTCAGTTGGCATTTCCTAATAAATAACTCCGCAGCGAAGGCCTTCTTCCTTTCATCACTAACATGCATTTTGATAAAACTGGTCAAACTTCGATTCTGAGAACCAATTACAGGAGGAAATATGAGACTGAATTCATTGTGGTCTTCGTAGACAGGTAGGATTTTTCGTTCCGTGTTAGGCTGTGCTGGAACCATTTAGATAAGAACATATTTAACCGTTTTATCAAAGCCCTCAGTGCATTAAATGCTAGAAGTCATTGAAGGATTGGTTTGCTTTGCCGAATTGTTTGTGAAAGCTGTCTGTACCCGACAAAGACTTAACAGCGTTCAAGATGTCTCAGTGGTTAAGGCGCGAACTTCCCGATCAGAAGGTCCGTGGTTTGACCCCAATCTCCGCATCTCGACCAGTTCTGTCTTGGCTTGGACAACCTGGCACTATTTCAGCCCTTCGGGTGGCATAGCAACTAGGCACCGGAAGAGTGTTGCAGCTGAAGTATTATTATTGCAATCATTACTCACTTAACAGCCACTATCCTTGAACGTTTGGTCTTCCAATGGGAGTCAGTTTATGCCTTATGCTAAGTCTAGCTAAGATGAACTAAAGTTGACATGCATTGAAAAAAAACTACCTAAGAACATTCGGTGCATTTAGAGTGCAATAAGGCCATACTGAAAGGGTCTTGATTATCGGACCATGGGAAACATACTACTGCGAAGTAGTAGGACAACTAGTTACGAACGGATCGAAAAACAGTCGTGAGGACTAAGTTGATGGAAGACTGGTGTTGTCACGATTCAACTACTATGCGGCCGGTTACCAGTGCAAACCAAATTTCTCTCGAATCATGAGGCAGTCGACTTCTCTGTTCGCACAGATCACCAATCCTATCAAATAACTGTCGCGATAGTTCATAAAACTGAAAACGATACCTTGGTCCGTAGGACCAACTTGTTGGCACTGCAGTGACTGGACGAAGTGCCATATGATTCAAATGTATCGTTGGGAGCATTTAAAATCACAGTGTTTCAAAACCCCCCACCAATAAAAATATTGTGGGCCAACTAGTATGTACGAACCTTACACTAATTCTCGAGAAGTACACTCACTTGCAAATCAATTTGGTTTTCACGAGAGACTCAAATGAATCTGTCGTTTATGATGTTCTACAACTGAATGTGCTGCATACAGGCCGCCTCGTGTCTCAGTTGGCACGATATTCGAGATATCGCAGTATATTTTCACACAGGAAACTACACTACTTCCCTTAAACCAGTCACCAGTAATAATCATTTGAATTTTCACCGCGAAATTGTCGTACTGAAAAATAACGCCTGTTTGAAATTATCAGCCAACCATGTGTTTAGTCCAGATATGAACCTATTAAAAAACTTTGAGAAAAGGTGAAAATATTCGAAGTATTGGAAGATTATCAAAATTAAACAATAGTGATGAGACCTTTCGTAATTCTTAGCACATTGCTGGCTTCCACTTATACAGTGGACGCCTTGTAGCAAACCGCCTGGTGTGCATACAACCTCGTACCCATGTGACCCTATATTTATTTCGCATCACTACATATACGCTCAGCGCTTGCATTTCTTTATGTGATGAAAATGTAAGATGAAATGATCCCGGGGCTTTTTCATTTATTTTAACAGGTATATTCGGAAAGTCGTGATTCTAGGTCGGACTGGATGACGTATTGAAAAACGTGAGCGTACAAACTATAGATATTGGAGTAAATAGAAAAAAACATGTTGGTTGGGCGTTTAACGTTAAAATGTTAATACCTCAAGATTACGACCCATTAGTGTTACAAAATTAAATTAGTATTCCACTTGCGCAACTCACTTCGCTTTACGAGCTGCATTTGCTGACATTTTCAGTTCATTATCCGATTTCGACGGATTTCGTTTGACTGACGAGTTTGACGTCTTTGACAAGCTACCGCTAGCATTTCTTTTCAAAGCTATCTTCATTGTGCCGCTGTGTGGGCTTCAGACAGTCCACTTCCGACTTCGAACAGGCAAGAATTAACGTCCGCGAGCCATGCACTCCACAGGCTGAGATTGCTTTCCTTAAAAGGTGTAGGATCACACAAGGTGCGAGTCACATCTACCGTGGTTAGTCAGTTTTGATTGGCCAGATCAGAGTTCCTGTGTCACGCTTGCACATCAGTTGATTTAGGTTCCTTTCGCATTTTCGCCTCATGTTTGATCGAGCTGGTGCGTATGCTGCATCCCAGACACATGTGGCCGACCAATCGGATTTGTGTGACAAGGTCGGCTTGCACGTCGCGGCCAAGTGTGAGATTGAGTATTAACGTGACGCGGCTGTCAAAATAGACACGTATTAATTGCTGGAATTACGTGTAGGGCCATCCATTTTTCAATAACGCAGTCGTTTGTGAAGGGTGCAGACAGGATTTCACGGCACACGTGCACAAGGTTTGGGAATCTCCAGTTGGCCACTTTTGACCATGCGGAAGGAAAGGTATGACAGTCGGTGCGAAATAAACTTTGGTCCAGGAAACGAAAGCAGAACAACTTCGGTGCGACACATTAATTAAATAACTGTTGCAGCGGACATGGCGTGAGAAACGATCCCAACTAAATTCCAGACGGATTTATTAGTTACGACACAGTGAAGGGTACAGTGGGAAGAATTCTCGAAAAAAGATCGGGTTCAGTTCTACGGCGTCGGATACAGCTCCTTTTGATTGATAGGAATAATGAAATGGTCTCTATGAAAATAGCTGAGTAAATTACCGCGAAGCATAGACACACGTGCTAATCACGTGTTGCGCGCTATACTTTCACTGAAAGAATCGTCCACTTAATAACTAACTTCTGGGAATGACGATGATTTACAACAAATTATTCGCCTAAAAGGAAACAATATACGAAGATGTCGTTTGTTCTATGCAAGTTAGAGTTCAAACATCACAATGCATCGTGGAAAGCAAGGAAGAGAAAAGTATTACGATGCTAAAGCAACTTCAATTGTACCTGATAAAATAATGAAGAAGGGTTGATTTGAAATTCATGCCATTTTTACTAGATTGCACTAAGAAAGGTGTATTTCATTTTGTTGCACGTATGGCTTACCATGTATCCTTTTTGGTATTTGGTTTGAGTGTGAAAAAAAGACAAGTCTCGTGATCCAGTGAGCGACTGTGAGCTGAACAGTCAAGTATATGGGTGACTTGGTGGCTAAAAGCTCACAAGTAACTGCACAATATCGAGTGGCCTAGTGATTGTTTCGAGCATTATATAATTAGACCATGGAATTTCGGTTAACACTAGAATGACGGGGAGAAAAAATCGCGATAGATCACCATCTTGTTAGAAGGTACTTTATATGTCCATTATCAGTGTGGAACGAGAGTGTGAGGAATGGCAATACGAAATTCATAAGACTTCGAAAAACAAAAATGTTTAAGTAGCCTCGTGAAAATGGCAGAATGCAACGCCACATGTCCAAGGTCAAGGTGATTCTTCACAATCATATTTCCCAACTATTACATGCGTTCACACGTATAAATGCAATGAAAACCGATAAAATAAGATCTCCAAAGCAATATACTACTCATAAATTTGTTGGAAACTCTTCGACAGCATACGACCAGTTTCGCCCTTTTTGGGGCTCATCAGGTAGGCGCAGCCCCCGAGTTTCCGTCAACCTTGTCTTCTAATTGAAGTCAAAGAAACTTAGATCAATGCAATCACCGTTTTGATAGAAACCTTTGGAATTTTGGCGTAACTGAACATTTTGGAACAAAATCGGTCATTCCATGAGGTATTCATAAGGCCAAACGGGGTCAAATTAATGGGAGAAACCAATAATTCCGAAGGCAGATGTATATTTTTCAGAAAAGTAGGTTTGCTCAAATCGCAGACAATATTCTTGTCATCCGGAAATAGTGTAGAGAAGTCAATAAGATTTCTGCTTTTGGAAATCAGTACAAGGATTTTTTTGCTTGTAGTATACACCGATCACTGGGACAACCAATTCTTATTTGTTTGTCTTCTGCTGTTTTGTTTTTACCCGCCAAACTTACTCCTTACAAGTGTGAATGGATCAACAGCCCACAGTATAAGCCAACTCGGTTCGTCATTACACCATTTATGCCTTGCCTCTATCAAGAATCATCATGCCAAGAAGTCACCAACAACATATGTTCTTCATTTAAACTTCACTGGACTACTCCTTCCGTAGGTGAATCTGACACATTGAGTACCAGCAAACCATATTTTACCGCACACTATCTACTCACTGCGGGCGATAATATTACTCATCGACAGTGGAAGGTAGTAGGACATGTGGAATTCTCGTTCGAACAGCCGCAGTGTGTCCCGGTGCAATGTTCCTGGTAATTCCATATCGAAAATCGGAAGCACATGACTCGAGCGTCACCTTTATTCAAACTGATTGCTTGTGCATATGTGGCTAATTTGGTGTCCGATTGCCGCGGAGTTTGTATGGAGATTAATTGTTGCTCAAGTCAGTCAGACAACAAGCGTTCGCCAATCAGTCAGTTAAAATAACTCTATAATTATGGTAGAAGATCGAAGGTTCATACAAGTGGATTCACAAAGAGAGTCACTTACCTGCACAGGTTAATTAAAGTGGGAATGATTACCACAGGATCCTGGTCATATGTCGGAATTTGTGCATCTGACTTTGCGCAATTTATGCGATTCATTCGTTGATTTGACGAATCGTTTAGAAAATATCCATGTCGCATGATGTACTTTGACTGCATGACATATATAGTTAGGAAATATATATATACATATAGGAAATGATTCTGGAAAAAAATGTGGGCGCTATTTTTGTTCACCGATAGAGCACTAGCTTCCCGGTAAATTACGTCCAGGAAAAACATCTGACATCCAAAATAGAACTAGAATAATCGCCGTCTTTCCGCAACGTCAGAAATTAGGGGTTACTCTCACGTGATCCTTCACAGACGTGGTATTACCTAAAATGGAGTATATTATAGTGATCTTTGGCCTACACTGAGATTCTAAAGACTGCGAGAATTTAAGAATGAGGTTTTATTAGAGCTGGAAACGGTTAGCAAACGAGATGAGAAAAATCATGTTTGGAACATTTTTTGGGCGGAAATCTTCCCATTACGGCAATCACTTTCTTCTCCTTCCTGGAGGGGGGCACAAACGAGTAACCGACTTTTCAAAAGAACGCTTTCTTTCTACACAGGAAGAGGTAGGGAGACCTTACATTACAACAAAATGGAAGGATAGCGCTCCTGTATCTTCCCAAATATGAATGACCCCCCACTGCGTGCATCACTCTCTTACTGTTTTGTGCCCAAGTAAAAGGCATCCATTACCTAGAAGCGGAAATAGTGTGCCTGAGTTATTCCTGTTTTCACTCGTTAAAGTTAGTTACCGCTTGTTGCCAAAGACAGCGAATCCGCAGGTTTTTAGTCAAGAAGTTTGGGGATTCCCATAGGCATTCAGTGTTTCTCTGTATAGATTATAGTCCAGTCGTGTGTTTACAACGATACATTATTCTCAGTAGCTATATACCACGAGTGTGTTGCTTCTCCTCAGTCAGCAAGTATGCCGTCAAAAACATACTAAATTCTCAAAATCCAAGGCATTTTAGCAATAGTAATGATGGAATTCGGCACTGATGACTATCATATCAATATGGTTGGTTGATATCCGAAGCGGTTCTACCGGTCAAAGGCACTTGCTTCATTGGACACCTGTCAGTTACCTTTCATACTGGGTATTAAACTCGGACTCAGCTGGAGCAGTTTATCACAAACATTGTTTGCGCAGTGTCACTGGGACCCTACTAGACAAGACTGTTAGACAAAAACAGCCGGTCAGCGAATACTGGGATCACACTGGTTCTCAAAAGTCTTCCCTGGTCCCCGATATGATACAACAAGGTCAACCATCCATCTGACAGACTCGAGATATGACGCACAGATCAGCAAGATCTGAGCTTGAAAATTCAATGCTTTCTGACGCATCAAGCCCGTAATTTACGGGAGGGAAAGCGTCTAATTTAGCGAAAGAGTAAAACGGCGACAAGATTTATGTACTGCTTCAAATCTGGTGACATGCGTTTTCGAATATGTGGATCTCTTTTGACTTGAACGGTGTTTTGCAAACAAACGCCCATACAATGCGTCATTTTTGAAGTCGACAGAAATGAGATGGTTGCATTGATGAAGTATGGCCCCTTTCTAACACTGGAAATACGGAAGATAAGTGATAACTGTCCCCACATGGTCGACCTGGACGCTCTGAGCATACCTCCTGAATTCAGCAAGATGCTTAAACAAATATAGAGAGTATGAAATTAGTTGAGGAAGATGAACGGAATGTACTATACGTAAGTCACGCTCCCCAAACTACTAAATGAAACCCGACGTAAAACCTATTCATCCAAGCTTAAAAAGGGAGAGTTTGATAGTGTCATCTTTCAGTGGTACCAAGCCACGACAGCCACTACTCAAACACAAATTTCCACAAAGGCCGAAGTTACTCGTCGTACTTCCTGCGGTACATGTCCTATTTTTATTCACGCTCCACCCCTTCAATTGAGGTGTGTGTTTGAGAGGTAGGCGGGCTTGTCCAACTAACTTAGCATTCTGACTCCGTTTATTCAGCTGTCCTCTTCATCAGGGGCTCAGTTACCGTTGAAAGGCTCGTTTCTAACCTGCATGATGCAATTGATGAATTACACTCGGCTCTAATGTGGGATAGGGCTGATCTCTCTAGTATCGAACATCTACGTCCCAGTCCAGCGGTGTTAGCTGAACTTGACAAGATTAGAATTAAGACGGTTCGTATTTGTAATGCACTGCTCATAAGGTTGCCATGAATTACCTCGGCTATAATGCGGGATAGGGCTGATCTCTCTAGTATCGAACATCTACGTCCCAGTCCAGCGGTGTTAGCTGAACTTGGAAAGATTAGAATTAAGACGGTTCGTATTTGTAATGCACTGCTCATAAGGT